TACTGGACAAACTGGGTATCAACCTGCAGAAGAATGAAGCAAGACCCTTACCTCATCCTATACATAAGGACAGATTTAAGGTGGATCACAGACTGCCAGATAAAACCCCAAACTCTCAAGATTATCAGTGGAAAAAACCAGTACAGGGAATACATGGGGTATCAGAATTAAGGAAAGATACACTCCCAGAGGAAGATATTAGACTGGTGGGACATACTAATGATAAAACACTTGTGTGTATCGAAGGACTTTAGCAAGAGAGTAATAAGGGAGCCTACAGAGTTGGCAATGATATTTAGTAGTGGCATATCCAATAAAGGACTTATTACTAAAATCTACAGAATCCTGCAACCTTATAACAAGAGAAAAAAAAATCCACCGAGGAGGTGGGCAAAAGACTTGAACAGAAGATTCACAAAGAAGGAAACCCTAATGACCAATAAACATGAGAAAATGATTATGACCATTAGCCAGCCAGAAAATGCAAATTAAAATAACGATGAGATACCACCGAACACCCACAAGTGTAGCCCAATTTGAAAAAAGCAGAAAGCAACAAATGTTGGAGCGGGGTGTAGTGAGATAGGAACTCTCATTCAGTGCTAGTGAATGAGATATGTACAGCCACTGTGGAAAGCAATTTGATGATACCTAAAACATGGAAATCAAATCATCTTATGACCCAGCAATTCCACTATTGGGCATATACCCCGAAGAAATAAGAAACAGGCCATGGCAAGACATCTGCACTCCAATGTCCACCACTGCGCAATTCACAGTTGCAAAGAATTGGAAACATCCTGAATTTCCTCAATATACGAATGCATTTAAAAACTTTGGCATATACACACAATGGAGTTCTACACATCCCTAGAAAATAGTGATGAAATGCTTAGGTTCGAGTTTCTGGCCAGGAGGGGTTGGCCCACCTAGGTGTGCGTTACACCTGTATTGGCCCATGTAGGCCAGGTGAATTTGATTCAGCCAGTGGGGTCGACCAGTATCGTCAATCACGCTTACCAGCAGGGTGGGGTGGGGTGGGGGAGAGACCCGAAAAGCCAGAAATTTGTTGTGGTGTGTTCTCTCCCAGTGCCTGCAACACTGCAGTGCAGCCGGACTACGAGTCTGGCGCAACTGTGCCACGGATTCTGTTTGGCTTGTGGTACATTTACTGTAAAGCCTGAAATTGTTTCTAACCTATATAAAACTCACTTAGATTACAAACCAGGTTTCGGGGTCAGTTCTTTCTCTTGCGAAGCCAAGGACCGAGGTATATCTCTCCCATGAGAGAGAGATCTAACAAGATGATGAAGCACCTCATCTCATGGGAAGAGTTGGAGGATATTGTGCTGAGCAAAGTTAGACATGCACAAAAGGACAAGTGCAACCTAAGTCCACTGAGGTAAGTACAAACAATGGAACGTCCATTGGGGAAAATGTACATATTGCACAGTTCGGGGAGGAGGACCCAGATACTCAGGCAAGAGCCAGGCCAAACACTGTGATTCATAAGTCATCAAATAAAAGAAAGAAAAAAATTAAAAAGATGCAGATAGCATCCGTGTTGAAAGACTTCTGCCGCTCCTTCATTTGTCTTTGTGGCCCACAGAGGAGTGGGGGAAGAAAAAAATAGCAATGGGGGAAAAGGGCATTAATCGGCTCCAGGGGAGGGTATTATGTCTCCATAGGAAAGGGAGAAAAAGAATAGACCTCATATCATTGAGCCAAACCTTTTCCCTAATCTCTTCAAATCTGCAGCAGGTTCTGAGTTGCTTCTTATCTTTCATGATCTTGACACTTGATCCGTTTTTAGAATATCCTCAGATTAGATATGTCTGATTTCTTTTGTGATTGGAATGACTTTATGCATTGTAATGAGAATACTGCAGGAAATGACTGCTTCTCAGTGCTTTATAGCAAAGCATTCACAATAATAATGTCTTATTACTGCAGTACTTGTGATATTTGCCAGAGATGAATTGGTTAGATATATGACTGTGAGTTTCTCCATTCTAAAATTATTTTATTTATTGGTAAATGTCTTTAGGGAAAGTCTTTAACATTGAAAATTTGGTTCTCCTCAGATTTGGCCAATTAATACTGGCATATATCAGTGTAACTTGTCTTGCAATATTTGTTATTGTGATGTTTGCTCTGTGGTGATTTCTTTTTTCGTCTACATTTATTGAGAATCTATTGTGAGAAAGAGCTGTTTCATTTCTAATCTTTATTCAGAGCTCTGTAATTTCTAATATTTATTCATTTGTATACAGTACTATGTTGTTGCTCAAATAACTCCTGCATTTCATTGTGTGTGTGTGTGTGTGTGTGTGTGTGATTCTGGTTTATCTTGTATTTTCTCTGAGGAAGTCGTATAATCAACAACTTCCTTGATGAGCCCAACAGCCTTTTATTGGAAAATGAAGTTTAGATTTGGCTACTAAATGTGCTCCTTGGATATTGTGTTTAGGCCCTTTCAGTGGATGAAATTAGAAATATTTTTGTGTAGATAAAGTGAAATTTTTACGATTGGTAGTCCCACGAATAACGTCATTTCCCTGAAGAGAGTAAAGACCAACATGTTTATTAAAATATTTAGCAATACAACCACTGTGGTGCTTCCTCAAATGAAAATAGAAATAACATTATTCAATCACAAAAGGACAAATATTTCATGAGACTACTGTTATGAAAAATACTTATTTTACATATTTAGAAAATTAGACTTCATGCATAGATTGTAGCAATCTATATTCAATTAAAGTATTGTTTGAAGCTCTTAAGATGTCTAGCAATTGTAATATGTCTTCTGTTTGTTGATCAGATTTTAAAAGTTACTGTCTTTGGGATAACGTTAAACGGGGTAAGAAAATATTTAAATTTCTATAAATTTTGTTCATATCTCTTTGGAAGAAGGTACTAAGACAAACCTAATACAATTGTTGCTTATAAGGACTTGTGTGTTAGGTTCGAGCCAAACTAGGCCCAGGAGGATATAGGTGGCTGGATCTTGGTGAATGAAAGAAACTGAATACAGAGAAGGTAGCAAAATCCATCCCGTCAGTGGGAAGTGAATAAGATTATAAATTGACAGGGATTAGGACAGACTGTTTCAGATTGAAAAGGAAAGGTGTTAGGGTGTCAATATATACTTGTTCATATTTATTTTTTTGTGTGGCACCAAGTGGTAGTATGGTGTCCAAAAGACAGCAGTAAATCTTACCAAAGACTAGTGCGGAGAGAATTTAGATCCAGGATCCATTGTTTGTCAGACATTCTTTTATGCTTCTCATGCTCTGATTTGGAAAGGCCTCTCCTACTTGAGGTCAGCATAGTTAGTAGCAAGAAATTGGTTTTTACTTCTCTGCTAATAAGGACTACAAGATCTAGAAAGGTTACAAATTAACTACTCCTTTAGTAGTAGGAATGTAATTGTTTTTCCCTCTTCTACCTCCCCCTGTCACCTTCCCTCCTTCCCCTGCATTAGGCCATATTATTTGAAATTGTCTAAAACTCTGAAGGGTCTGAGATTTTATTCTACTTGGAAGCTAACAAGGTAACCTGCCACAATGTTGCATCGCTGATTATTGGTCAAAAACAACTCTATAAAGCAGGGCAAGCAGGATGATTTTTATTTCCAGGTTAACTCCTTCCACTTACTGTTTCACACAGGTGACTTGAAACAGCCCTAGAGGATGCCTTGTTCTCAATGGGTTTTTGTATCATAACTGATATAAGGGACCTAAATCTTTGAAAACAGAGTATAAGAAAATCTGCCCATCTGTACCCAAAGAAAGGCATTATCTTCATTATACTGAACAGTAAATCAGTCTGCTGTTAGAGGAGACATCACTCTATTTTTCACTTTCCCTTTAAGTATCCCTGAAAAGAAGTGCTTCCTTTTGCAAGACTAGAAATGTGAGAGACTGGAAGAGTGTCTCTCAGCAGAACGTGATTAGTATGAAGTCCTTTGAGCTGTGAATGTTCTTGGCTTTTGTTCTTCATTCTAACCTGCTCAGCTTTCATTAGTCAGCAATCTTTCTCTGTAAAGGGAAATATATATATTAAATATTTTTAGGTTTTGTTAACCATATGGTTTCTGTTATAGCTATTCACCTCTGCTGCTATACTAGGAAAATGTACATAGACAATATGTAAATGGATGAACTTGCTTATGTTCCAGTAGCATTTTATAGATATTAAAATTGAAACTTCCTCTCACTTTCATGCCACAAAGTGTTATTTTTATTATTTTTCCCGAGCCATTTAAAGAATGTAAAAGCTGTTCTTAGGTTATGGGGCATACAGAAACCGGTAACAGCCCAAACTTGAGATTTTTCCCCCCCAATTTTATTTGAATGGGTTTTCTTAATATGCTACATTGTTTAATTCAGCATTCTTGCATATAATTAGCATTTTATAACATAATTCTAAAATCTTTTCTAATAATTTATTCATAATTTGATTTTATGGTAATGAGTGAGATAACCAAATTGTATTTATTACGTGATGAGGAAACTAATGTACTGAGAAAGAAGAAGCATTGCCTAAATCCATAAATATAGTAAGTGAGAGTGTCAAGATTATTACTTCTTCCCCCTGTAATATAACTTGTGGTTTAAAATTTAACGAGTGTCATATAATCATAATAATGCATATGTCTTTCTAATTTTATTACTAGATTCTGCCACCTATCCATTTTAATTTAATAATTGATTTTAAACAAAAATGGATATAGGAGGTGATGAGCATTTGTTAACAAGGCTTGATATAGATTTGAGAGTTGAAAATTTACAGTCATCCATATGCTGTGTGACTTTTCCATAGGAAAGAATTGATTTTCTATATGAAAATAAATGTTAAAAAGCCTTTATCCTTATATATTTTCTTCATGAACTAATGTTTTGATTTATCCAGTTAAGTTTTATTCAAAAATTTAAAACTAGAAATGTTCAGAACATTTTTTATAGTAATGTCATTTTGGATTGCTTCCCTATCAGGTGGTTGAAGATTATGCTGGAAGATGGCAAGTCCCTTTGCCACAGCTTCAGGTTCTACAGACTGCACTTTGTTGTTTTACATCAGCCAGTGCATCGTTCCCAGATGAGTGTGAGCACGTACAGTATGTTTTGAGTAGTCTTGCTTTGTAAGTATTTTTTATAAAAATATCATTGCTTTTAATGTAGATGAAATTGATTTTTTTTTTTTATGGTTTCCTCGAGGGAAGGAGCTTTTCCTTGAATTTTCTTTCAAAAAGAAGTTTCATCTTCTTCATTGAGTTTTTAGGTTTAACTTAAAACATTTAAACATAATTTTATGTTTAGCTCTACAATTACATGGATTTGTGATAGACAGATTTTTATAGCCCTCCTCTAAACTTTCTGTTTTAATTTTCAAGATTGCCTAGGAAGCTCTAATGATAAATAGTAGAAGACAACTATTTAGAATTTGATGTCAAAAAATCCCCAAAACTATGCCATCAAGTTGATGTCAACTCCTAGCGACCTATAACCCTATTGGGTAGGGAGAACTGCCCTTGTGAGTTTGCAAGACTGTAACTGTTCACAGTAGAAAGCCCCATTTTTCTCCCGAGGAGTAGCTGATGGTTTCAAATTGCAGACCTTGGGGATTGCATCTCAGTATGTAACCAGTATGCCACCAGGGCTCCTGGACTTGATGTCAGAGGCCAGAAAGAAGTTAGGGAATGCCTAGTTTTTATGGTTATAAAGAACCTGCATTTACGGATTGCAAGCAGAGCAGGCATTCTAGGAGGCCAGTGGTACAGCAGTTAAAGTGTTTGCCTACTAACCTCTTAAGGTCAGCGATTGGAACACAATCCACCAGCTGTTCCTTGGAAGAAAGATGTGGCAGTCCACTTTTGTGAAGATTTACACCCATTGCTATCAACACATAAACCCAAATCCCACGGCCATTGAGTCAATTCTGACTCATAGCAATTCATAGGACAGAATAGATCTGACCCCTTGGGCTTCTGAGCCTTTAAATCTTATGGGAGCAGAAAGCATTATCTTCCTCTTCTTAAGTGACTGGTTGATTGGAACCACTGACCTTGCAGTTACCAGCTCTCCTGAAGCCCTCTATGCCACCAGCCCTCCTTTTCTAACTGAGCATCCTTACAGAGAACTTCTGAGACTATAAAATCTTTATAGAAACAGACAGTCCTCTCTTTCCCATGAAACTTGCTGGTAGGTTTGCAATGCCAACTTTGTAGTTAGCAATTTGATATGTAACCCCCAGTGCCACCAGGGATCCTTTATCACAACTGTGGAAATCTCATGGGGCAATTTTGCTTTGCTCTAGCAGGTTACCATCAGTTGGAATTGAAAAAGTGGGTTTTCATTTTTCAAAGCCCACTTAAATTATAATGAAGAAGGGACGGAGCATATAGTGACAAAGAACTAGAAAACATTGATCAGTGGAAGGTATGCTTCAAAATTTACTTGAGTATAGAAAGTAGAGCAGTTATAATTGAAATGAAGCAGAAAAATTTACAACTTCACTTCCACTCTCCCGTCCCAATTGCATTTGTGGGTTATGAAGCCACTGATCAGCACTATAAAAATGCACTAAAGAATATCAGAGTATGTCTTGATTGATGAGTAGAAATTTCTGAAACACATTTTATGTATTTTTATGTGTATACATGATTATTTTGTATAACTTTAAGGAAAAGAATCAAAATCATTTTTTACTATTTTATTATGATTTGAGTAAAAGTAAATGTTTTATATTTAACAATTCCTATTCATTTTTGTTTCATGACATTGATTTCAATACCCCAAATGTAATCTCACTTTTTCTACTTCTGTATATTTACTATTTTTTATTTGTTCTTTTCATTTGTCCCTTTCTGCCTTCCAAGTAAAACATTTTTATAAACCTTTGTAGAGGTATTTAAAAATCAAACTATCCTTTGCTTTATAAAATATGATGTAGGTAGCCTACCCATCCCTGTAGCCTCCAAAATTCCAGAGATGTGTAAAATTTAAAAGTGCAAGATAATAACATAGAAAGTAGGGAAAGTGACACTTTAAGAAAGTGCAGTTAAAGGATTAATTGAAAAGGATAAGTAGGACCATATTACTTTTAAATTGGCCATTTAGAACTTAATACAATACTCATGATTAAGTGGTGTTCATTAGGGATGTAAATAAGTTGCCACAAGTTAGGATCAGAAAACCTTAAAACAGTCATTGGTCTACAGCAACACATCCCCTCAGGCAGTAGCCATGTATCTCTCTCAGGTCTTTAGCCTCTCAGTGATATGTTTTCTTTCAGCCTCTGTTTCCATGGGCCAGGAAGCCAGCTTTCTTTTCTGCGTCATAGTCTTGGCACCACTCCTCTGTTCTGTCTCATGATCAATTACTCATGTAAGTTCAGGTTGAAGCTGAAAAAAATTAAAACAAGTCTACAAGAGCCAAAATGTGACCTTAAGTATGTCCCACTTGAATATAGAGAACATCTCAAGAACAGATGTGATACATTGAACACTAATGAACAGAAGATATGTTGAGTTGTGGGAAGACAATGAGAACATCATTCATGAAGCAAAAATGTCATTCAAAAGACAGAGAAAGAGAAATCAAAGTGCATGTCAGGAGAGATTCTGAAATTTGCTCTTCATCCAGAGTACCTAAAACAAATGTAAGAAATGATGAATTCAAAGACCTAAATAGAAAATGTCAAAGGGCAGTTCCAGTAGACAAAGTCAAATATTATAATGAAATGTACAAAGACCTAGAGTGAGAAAATCAAAAAGGAAAAACATGCTAAGCTTATCTTAAACTGAAGAAACTGAAGAAAAAATGCAAGGCTCAAGTTGCAATATTGGAAAATTCTATGTGCAAAATATTGTATGATGCAGGAAGCATCAAGAGAAGATGGAAAGAACAAACAGAGTTACTATACCCAAAAGAACTAGGTGACATTCCATCAATTCAGGGGGTAGCATATGAGCAAGAACCAGTAGTGTTGAAGGAAGAAATTAAAGCTGCATTGAATGCGTTAGCTAAAAACAAGGCTACAGGTATTGATGGAACACCAATCAGATTTTCTGTTTCTGTAAGCTGATTTACGCAGTAGAATGACTTACTTGTCTGTGGCAGGAAACTTGAAAGACAGCTACTTGGCCAACCAACTTGAAGAGAACCATATTTGTACCCATTACAAAAATAAGTCACTCAACAGAATTCTCAAATTACAGAATAACATTATTAATATCTCATGGACATAAAATGTTGCTGAAGATCACAAAAGGAATACTTCTATCTAGATTTAACAAATTAGATTTAACTAATATTCTTAAGGGAATATACCGATAAGTATATACCTAAAAGAAGTAAAAGTAACAGATACTTGTATACCAGTGTTCACTGCTGCACCACTGACAATACCAGAAGATAAAAACTCAAGTGTCTACTAGTAGATAAATGGATAAATCAAATGTGGCTTATACACACAGTATAATAATATTCTGCTATAAAAGTTCTAATAGTTAACCTGCTACATGAAAAGAATGTCAGCTGAGGGTCTCTGATTGAGATAGTGAGCCACATCTGTCTTCCTTTGGCCAGAGAGGGAGAATCCATGGCTACACTAGTCCAAAGCCTAGTACCACAAGGCAGAGGTCAGACATGCCTCCAAGCTGCAGTCTTCTTTACCCTATTCTGACACCAAACATTTATTCCAACATTCTCTTTCTGCTGGATTTGATAATACTTTGCAATCGCCACACAGAACTCAAGACAACACTAAGAATTCTGGGGGCTTGTCAGGGAAGTTAACAAGTTACCAAAAGCCAGGATCAAAAAACATTAAAGGTACTGGTTCACAATATCTCTTTTCGGACAGCAGACATGCCACATCTATCTTTTTTCTGGTCTTATAGCCACTTGGTCTCTTGTCCTCTGCTTCCATTGGTCAGGCAGCCCACCTGTTCAGCCTCCTCAGAGTCCTTGTACTCCTGCTCTGTCTCATGTCTCCTTGTCTGTCTTTGGTCATAGCATGGCTTCTGCTTCTTTGGTCTCTGGTCATGGCATAGTTTCTACTGCCTCTACCACTTTGGGCAGGGACTTGAAATGTGCTCCAATGGTAGCTCTTGTACCATGATTGCCCCAGAAGTTTTTTCTTCTGCGCCTAGGATGCCTCATTCTTATAGCCAGGGGAATAGCAAAATGGGCATATCCCTGAGTTTCAGTCTTCTGTACCTTATTTGCATGGTCCCACCCCATCAGACTTCAGACCAAGAACAGACTACAAAGAAGGAATAGGCTGTCCACTTTTGAGAAAATAACCATAGAAAACCTTAGAGACAATAAGGAAAGCCTTATGGACAATTGAAGCATTGTTGGATGCTGAAAATCTCATGAAAAGAAGCAGAACATTGTGGGACATTGTGCCAGAAGGTGAACCCTTCATTTACATTTACTTGGATGTGCAAAGAACCCGCGGTGATCCTGTTAAGCATTGGGTGGCTAACCCCAAGTTGGCAGTTCAAACCACAAGTTTCAGGGAGAAAGATGAGGCTCTCTGCTCCTATACAGATTTATAATAATCTCAATACCGCCAAGCAGCAGTTCTACTATGGCTATAGGGTGACTGAGTTGGAATTGACTCCATGGCCGGATTTTTTTTAATGTTGTGCAACCATTACCACAGTCCAATTTCAAATATAAACAAACATAACTCTACATAGAAATTCAGTACTCCTGAAGTAATAGTCTCCATTTCATCCTTTTCTTCGGTCCCTGGAAACTATTAATAAACATTGGTCTCTATGCCTTTGTCTTTACTGGACATTTCATGTATGTAGGTTCATGCAATATTTGTCCTGTACCTAACTTAACTGAACATATATTATCAAGGTTAATTCTAGTTAAAGCATATATTAAAATCTCATTTCTCTTTATGGATGTATAACCTAGAATTTAGATGTACCACATTTTGTGTAGCCATTCATCTGAATATGCCCATTGTTGCTGAATAATATTGCATTATACATATATACATGTGTACCACATTTTGTTAGTTTATTCATTTGTTGATGGACACTTGGGTGGTTTTCACCTTTTTTCCTATTTTGAATAATGCTGAAATGAATGATAGTGTACATGTAGAAGCTTTTTCTTTAAGGAAATTGGGAAGATTTCTTTTCAAATGATTGCTTTACTCTTGATTCGTTTTATGTCTTTACCCTCTTAAATAGTTAGGTTCATAAAATAACAGTTTAGAGATATGTTTATTGTGGAATTCTCAGAACTTTTATTTATTACATTTTAATAAACTATATATACCTTTATAGTTTCTGTTTTTAAAAACAGTAGTCTTTATTTGTGATTTACTTTGAAAAAGGGAAGAAGTTAAAAAAAATACAACTTCAGTGGCCTAGGCCAAGTATCCATAGATAAAGTTTAATTATCTTCAGGAACTATTTGTGCAACTTTATATGGTTGCTAAATGACATTAAAATTTCCATGTTAATGATTATTGTTGTTAGATGCCATCAAGTCTGTTCTGACCCATAGTGACCCTATGCACAACAAATGAAACACCACCTGTCACCTGTCACCTTCACAATTGTTCCTAGGCTTGAGCCCATTGTTAGCCACTGTCAATACGTTTGGTTGAACACCTTCTTTTACACTGCCCCTGCCCTTCATCAAGCATGATGTCCTTCTCCAGGAACTGATCTCTTCTGACAGCAGGTCCTAAATATGCAAAATCAAACCTCAGCATCTTTGCCTCTAAGGAGCATTTCGGCTATACTCCTTGACTTGTCTCTTTGGCAGTCCGTAATACTTAGATTATATACTCTAGCATCACAATTCATTGATTTTTAAAAAAAATTTTTTCCTTATTTAGGGTCCTACCTTCTCACACAGATGAAGCAATTGAAAATACTGTGCCTTGGGTCAGGCATACTTTAATCTCAAAGTAACATCCTTGCTTTTCCATACTTTCAAGAGGTCTTGTGTGGCAGATTTGCCTAATACAACTCGTGTTTTAATCTCTTGACTACTGCCGTTTGATTTCTTGACTGCTGCTTCCATGAGCATTGGTTGTGGATACAAGCAAGACAAAGCCTTTGGCAACTTTAACCTTTTCTCCATTTATTGTGATGTTACCTATTGGTCCAGTTGTGAGGATTCTGATCTTCTTTATATTGCGTTGTAATCCACACTGAAGGCTGGCATACTTGATCTTCATCAGAAAGTACGTCAAGTCTTCCTCACTTTCAGCAAGCAAGGTTATATCATCTGCATATCAAAGGTTGTTAATAAGCTTTCCTCTAAGCCAGATACCCCATTCTTCTTTATATAACCCAGTGTCTCTGATGATTTGCTCAGCAGACAGATTAAATAAGTATGGTGAGAAGATACAATCCTGTCACATACCTTTCCTGATTTTAAACCAGGCAGTATTTCTTTGTTCTGTTTCCACAACTGCCTCTTGATCCATTTATAAATTCCTCAGGAACACAATGAAGTGTTCTGGAATTCCCATCCTTTTCCCCTTAGATATATTTCTTTGTACCTTGTAACAAATGTAACACATTTGTTAAAATCTTACTGAAATTAACATTTTCTGAATGAATCCTAGATGATCAATGCAGATTTAAAAATACATATATTTATTAACATAATATAGCTATTATACCTTGGGTGCCCTGGTGGCATTAGTGGGTTATGTATTGGTTTGTTAACCACATGGTCAGCAGTTCAAAACAACCAGCTGCTCCACAGGAGGAAGATGAGGCTATCTACTCTCGTAAAGCGTTTTTAGTCTCGGAAATCCATGGGTGAAGTTCTACCCTGTGCTATAGGGTTGCTGTGAGTTAGAATTGACTCATTGGCAGTGGGTATTATTGTTTAAGATTCTTTAAAAAGCTGTATTCAAGGAACTATTGAACATTATTATTCACTTATTCTTTCTAGGAGTTTCTTTGAGTTGCTGCTATTTTTTGGAAGAGATGAATTTTATGAAGAGCCCTTAAAAGACATTCTTGGATCATTCCAGGTAAAACAGTTTACTACTTCATGTTGTGTCTAAATTTAATATACTGTATAATATACTGTAACTAGTATATTGCTTATTTGTAGCTCATGCTTTTATGGTTGCTAAAGTGACAGTGCTTAGGTAAAAAAAGAAAGTGCTTACATTTATTTTAAGCTGTAATTCTAAGAAATTCATAGCCATGATTTCAAATATATATTTGCTAGACCAAGCCTGCTAATATCATCCTTGTAGATTCTTAAGCACATTCTAGGTAAGTATTTTTTAGTCCTATAGGCTCGGGTATACCTCAGCTCTGGTGTCAAAATAATTCTTGCTTAGATCAGGAATTGGATGTCTTTCCGGTGCTACCTTTCCCTTGGCTAGTCCTTGATTTTCTTGTCTCACAATAGCTTTTCCACACCAAGAGGAGTATTTTTGTTGAACCTAATATATGAGAGAAGAGAGTAAATCCAGAAGGGACTGACATCCAAAATTTCTCCAATAGGTGCAAGAACATTTTATCTTTTAACCAGTTACATGGGAGTTGTATACCTATTACTGTGGTACTGTATCATCAATAATTTTCCTTGGAGAAGAATAAAGGAAGAAATACTTTTGTGTGCTCTCTGTGGGTACATTGTTCAGATAATTCATTTTATATTTATTCCTATAGCTTTTAAGAGAAAGGTTAATAGCTAAGTAGGATCATTTGCATACCAGAGAATCAAAGTGATTAGCAAAGCTTTTACATATTTATTGAAAGAGAATTTTCATATTTAAAGGATTATTGTGATGTCATTCTGGTACATAACATTTTTAAAAAGGAAAATTCTATGCAAAATTAATTGACAATATGTAAAATTTCTTCATATTCCAAATCTTATTCTTACTTTTTTTAACAAAATAATTTTATTGGGAGTTAATACAGAATTCATATCATTCTTTAGATCAATCACATTAAGCAGTATTTATTGTACAATTGCTACCACAATCAGTTTTCAAACATTCTCTTCCTTCTTGAATTCCTTCACATTAGCTCCCAATTAGGCCTGTTCCCACACTGTATCCTCCCAGGAAACCTTATTCTACTTAGTCCTGTAGAGGTTCATCAATCTGGGGTTGCATTTGCAGGAAAACATTAAAAAAATTTTTTAAATTCAAGAGTGTTATCTCCAGTGACAAAATACATCTGAGATGAACCCCAATATGAAAAATAAAACAAAGCAAAAACAAAATGTTGAAAACCAGTTCAGGCTCAACGTGCATCAGAGGGGAGAATCAACTGATAGAGGTTTTAGCTGTTCAGGTCCAGTTTATCATGTTGATCTTTTATAGTCATCCCTCCAATAAACTCTTTTAGGGAACCAGTTTCTTCCAATCTCTCTATTATGAATAGAGGGGGGAATTACTGGAGGCGTATTTCCTTTGTAGCTCTCACAAATATATATATAGGGCTTTCACTGTCATCTGTGGCTTTCTGCAGACCAGAATCTCACTTGGTTTGTTTCTTCTCTGTGGACTTGGTTTACATCTCACTTAGATGGCTGCTTGCTTGTAAACAAACCTTTAACATCTCAGACACTATTTTATTTGATAGCCAGGCACCATCTAATTTCTTCACCAGACTTTGCTATAGCACCCATATCTTCTATGTTCCCTTAAGGGTGAGTATTGAGTAGGCCATGATGTAAGAACTCATTGTTTTAAGATTAGAGCTAGGATTTAGGGAGAGCTCTAACCCATTCCTAGATCTATGTTGTTTTTAAATTCTGATGGGCCTCTATGTTAAGTCCTTCCGGTATAGCCCCTTGGTTATGCCATGCTGGCTGCAAGGTCAGCATCCAAAGCCATCTTGGTGTTTAATCCATGTTATGCTTCTTTGATGGTTGGGTAGAAGCATATTTGTAGTGTCTGCCAGGAACATAAAATCTGAACCATTGTCACCTTAGGTTGTCTATATTCATTGTTTAGCACCCCTTCCCAATATGAGGTTACTTCTCCCCTATGACCCACCCTACTCACCAATAGAACTATCAATGTCTCCTCCGAAATGAAATGCTTTTCTCCCCTGGTTTTGGCTTGATTTCCTGATAAGGTATTCCTTATATTCCTGTGGTGGGGGCCCACTGATTTGCCTCAGCTGTGTCTCAATATTGTATAGCCTCAAGTGGTTGGTCTTCTCCCATATATCCCCCCTTTTGGAGGAGTGATCCCAGACAGTGTGAGGTCCTCTCCTTCACAGTGGCTCTTGTGAGGTACATAAGAGGGAGGTGTGATAATATGGTTCATGGCCAGTAAGTAACCTCCCCTTTTGTACAACAAAATTAGGGAGTTGTTCCCTAAGATTTGTTTAATTGATGTTTCTCCGTTTGTTTGTTTTTCCTTATAGTAGTGGACTTATACAATATTTGTCCTATTGACTTACTTCACTCAGCATAATGGTTTCTAGGTCCTTCCGTATAATGTAGTGTTTCATGCTTTTGTTGCTGTTTTTTAGGGATGCACTGTATTCCATTATGTGTATGTACCAAAGTTTCTTCATTCATTCTTCCATCGTTGGGCATTTAGGCTGCTTCCAGTGGTTTGCTATTGTGAACTCTGCTGCTATGAACATGAGAGAGCACACTCCACTAGTGTGTTTCTTATTTCCTCCGGATATATCCCTAATAGTGGTATTATTGGATCATATAAGATTTCAGTTCCCAGTTGCTTTAAGTATCACCATATCGTTTTCCATGGTACTAATTTTTTAAACCCCTGTTAGGGATATTGGGCCAATGTAGGCAGACTCCATATTACAATACCTGAATTATTCACTAGTATAAAATCAATTATTTTATGGCTGGATGCTATTTACACAAATAATGGGAGTTGGTTGTCAGGGAAAATTTACAATAATATTCATTGGCAATGTCAGTCACGGGTTTGCTGGAATAATATATATCTTATTACAGCATATAGGACACTGATGTAGTAAATCAATGATTGTCAGTTATTGAACCAACAGTTCAATAATCTTGGTTTATCTGTCTTCTGCTTCTTCGGACACCATGAATTTTTAGTTTTAGTCTTCTGGTTACAAGTGTGTTTGAGGTAGAGCTCATTTTACCTTGTGGATTTTCCATATCATATCTCCCTGGTGCAGTCATTGGAGCATGTTGTGCATCTTGAAGATCCAGGATTCAATGCCCCAGTGTTCTATGGCAATTGGCCTGGGTCCCCCGAAATCTTATTCTTGAATTACTTTGCCATTCAGTACCATCAAAAGTGTTAGAGTTGTATTAAGTTTTAATAAAACTCAACTTTCCATTCAATTTCTTCTTTGACATTTGTATTCTTAGCAGTTCATTATGATCTCATACTTAGAAAATATTATTGAGTACCTGTTATTTGCTAAAGACTATGCTCTTTGACAATAGTAGTACAAAGGGAAATCCTATGCCATTGTGAAGCTTACATTAAAAACTGTATAAAAACTGTATGCCTTAGAGTACATTCAAATGCCAGAGTAACATAAAGCAGGGAAAATGATGTCAAGTGCTAGCATGGAGAAGCTTTACAATTTCAATGGGCGGTGCGGGAATGCTTTGCCGTGATAGCAATTGAGCGCTGACACTGTAACCACTGAAGGATTTGAAGTAGATGAGAGTCAGTGTTTTCACTTCTGGTTTTAAATGTATAAAAACATAACATTTGTGAAGGGCTATATCCTCTACTTGTGAATAGAATTACTTTTTAGTTATAAAAATTTCCTAAAGGAGAGTGAATGGTTTTGTACCTTTTTCTACCTTCTGATCTGAACTCTGGACATACTTAATTCTAAATTTTTTTTAATGCCTTTGGTGCCGTTTCTGTCTTTTTTTATTTGTAATGCTGTGGTTTCCACTTTCTTTAAAATGTCTTGACCCTCTGTTTCCTACGTTGTAGGTGAAATTTCAGCATTTTTCTCATGTTAGCTTTATCTAGAGAATCTACCTCCACCCTCTGAGCTGAGCTATTATTATTACTCCTCATCATGTACCTTACATTTAATCAGCTTTTGAACTCTTCAGAGCTTGACAAGGCCTTGGTAATCCAATTCTAATACCACCTTTTGAAATATTTGTGTGTGTGTGTGTGTGTGTGTGTGTGTGTGCGTGCACGTGTTTTACTAATGTAAACACATGGTTCATTTCTACCCATCTTTTACACAGGTTTATACCAGTTTAAGATGATACTGTTTTTCCTTGAGAGGTTTGCCAGAGTTAAAGGTAACAGGCAAAAACTGTTAATATATGCAATCATGCAACAGTAGCGATCTACAAGTAGATACTCTGAATAGACAGGCTGAACATGTGGGAGAGGGAGAGTGGAATATATGTGTATAGAATCTTTGACAGAGAATATTTATATATGTAGAATTACTTTCAGCACAAGTAGTCCAGGTATCATATGGTGCAGTGCACGGGGATAAAGTGGTGAAAACTTAGACATAACCAGACACCTTGCAGGAACAATTAACTGGGCCTGAGAGATCAGACCATCGTCTTGGGGGCACTGAGGTCAATTGACATAAAAGTTCACAAAAACCACTGTTTATATCCTACTTTGGGGAAGTGACGGGGTCTTAGAGGCTCGTGAGCAGCTATCTAATGTATAACTGTTAGTGGTTTCTCCCTGCTGAGAGGAAAGAAGAGTGTTACAAATCTGAAGACTCAAGCAAATAATTAGTCCAATGAACGAATGTGCTACGCAAACATCAGTCTCCACAACCCCAAGACCTGAAGTATGAGATGATCCCAAGCTACTGACTGTTCTGAAAAGGATCACATTAGAAGATACTGGGTAGAGTGGAAGAAATATGTTGACCAGAATGCAAAATCAAAAAGTGACCAGGCTTACGGGTCAGATAGACTGCTGAGATCCCTAAGGCCTTTAGTCACCCTTCAGATCTGGAAGTGAAATCACGTCTGTATTTGAATAATCAATGATTTGATATCCAAAGGGTGGCATTTATCCAATAACAAAGTTAGCAAAGGAGA